GACGGCCAATGCGTTAACTATTGAGAGCGCAAAACAACTTTTATCGGAGGCCCAGGAGTTGGGACCCATTGGAGGGGTATTTCATTTGGCGCTCGTATTAAACGAAAGTCTCGTTGAAAACATGCCAATCGACAAGTTTGCCGAAACGGCCGACACTAAGCACCGGGTGTTTGAAAATCTGGATCAACTGACCCGTGGGTTAGACTACAAAGTGGACTATTTTGTGGTATTTTCGTCCATCAGCACCGGTAAAGGAAACGCCGGTCAATGCAATTACGGTTACGGCAACTCTGTGTGCGAGCGGCTGTGCGAACGCCGGCGTAGGGATGGTATGCATGGGTTGGCCGTACAGTACGGCCCGATCGGCGATGTGGGCGTCTTTGAAGGCATGCGCCCGGAATACGAGTCGCTGACCGCGTGTCGCAAACAGCGGGTGCTGTCGGCGGTGGACGTGTTGGACAAACTGTTGGCCACTGATTATCCAATCGTCACATCGCAGGTAAACCACATATACATAAGTAAACAATTAATATAAAATGTTGTGTCATTTCATGGTTACGATTATCGCCGCAGATATTTGACGACGACCTGAGCGACAGATCGCCGGCAACAAGAGTCGGGTCTGGCGGCTGTCGGATGATCGGCGAGTTGTGGTCAGTGTTGGGCGTCGACCCGAACACAACGCCCGATGGGGTGACTATCGGCGAGATAGGGCTCGAGTCGATGTTTGCCATACAATTGCAGCACGAGTTCAGAGACCGGCTCGACGTGAATGTGCCGCTCGCGCACCTCAAAGGGCTAACTGTGGGCATGTTTAAGGCGTACGCCGGCGGCGACCCGGAGCCCATACGCCGGTACGCAGCTCTACAATAATAAAGCTCTTTATATAAAGTATATTTTGTTTATGTAGATGTTTATTAAAAGTAAGATATAAATTACAGTATACAATTAAACGCGTAATATAAAAAGAAAATTTTCGTAAGTCACATCAAATAATTTTTCGCCCGTGGTCACATCAACGCGCGTGTTCACTCGTTTACTCTTAATCCACCTGGCGCTTTTTTGCAACACGCGTTTAAGTATACGATTGTCACGCTTGAGAAAGTAGTTTATACCTAGTGGTACAGCATCTGTAATCATTAAAATTTTTATTAATAAAATATCACCGTGAAACATTATTTATAATATTAATATTTTAAACAGAATTATTTTTTACAATTATAATTTACGTACACAAGTAGTACTCCAATTCGGTGTAAGTAAAGGCCAAACTATTAATAGTATCCACAATAGGGGTAATACCATGTGCAATAAAAGCATCTAGCCACCGTGATCGTTGTTGCTCTACGGACTCTAGCTCTCTAACCAACCCCGTTTTTAGCATTTTACTAATAAAGTATTTGACCATGGCCGATTGAAGCACGTCCTTATAGCCCGATATCACAACAAACTGTAAATATGCCCTACTCTGGTCATCAGTGGTTAATAGTCGGCGTATATTGTTGGCGACCGCCGGGCGTCGATCGCTAATCCAATGTAGTGTTTGGTTGGATATAATGAGATTCACGCGGCCCTCCAGGCGCTTGATATCCGGACACAACGAGTCCCACGGTTGGCCAAAATTTTCGATGATATACGTAATACCGGGATCATTATTATTGATATTACCCGGGTTGTTTAGTTGGGCGTAGGCGACCATACCAGGGTCCACATCGCACCCGATATAAGTGCCGATATTTAACTCTCGCTTGAATATTGCGGACAAGTTACCTGACCCGGAGCCTATTTCCAGCGCAATGTCGTACGATCTAATGTTTTAATTAAAATAACCCAACATTATTAATTATACATACTGTATACCGATTTGTGTTTTGTAAAAACCAATATTGATTTAGATAGATAAAATCATAAATGTTAAATTTTACTTTTCATTTGACGATGCTTTGATTTTATCAATTAGAGCCAGTCCATCTCTTAGTTGCAATGTATTTGTATCGTTATAAATTTTTGCATCAACATTCATTGCTGTATTATTACGCCTAATAGTGATTGTATGGGTCTGATAATTGGACAAGTGTACAACTTTATAAAAACTATAAATACAACTTTTAACAATTATTATTAATATTCAACTTTCTAATTCATTATCATTTATTAAGAATAGTTTCAACCTTATTTTAAACTATTTATTGCAGTATAAAGTATATAATAAAAGTAGTACAATACAAAACACATAATATAAGGTAACATTCACACAAAATCAAAAGGGAAGTGAAAACTTACAATATAAGAGGTAATACTTTATATGGCATTTATAGTTTTACACCACAATTCAGAATGATATTAGATGTTTATAGATTCACTTTGATGCTCTTCCCCACCCCCTACCTCAGCATAAGAAATAACGTGGGATTGAATGTTAATCCTTTGACATAGACTTAACACAGATTAACTTAACTTACAAACTTGTTAGGAAAAATTAGCACTTTTTATTAAAAAGACAAATAGCAAATATTACATAAAATAATAACAAGCCTCCCTATAAGAAACACAACTGGCCATTTCTTGTAGAGAGCATGCACTGTATTACCAATGACAATTACAACACCTGAAACTAGGTTAAATGACTTCTGGATATAACTAATGCCCGATAAGATATTATCGGATATTTAAAATATTTACTTATGCTAATTCAAAAACATTTGCATTGAATATTTCCAGGTCATCTCTCAATATAAATGTTTTATAAGTTTTATGCTAATTAATTAAAAATAAAATAAAATTTAATATTTTAATTGCATTTCATTTTTGAACCAAATAAATGCAAAATACTTTCCACTAAAAAGTAATAATATACTAAACATTTTGTGATTGCATAGTATTTATGTGCATAGTAATAATCATAAACAACATATAATTTATGTACAATATATTGTATGTATAGTATTATAAACATTTACATAACTTAAATTAAAGCTAAAATAATTGCTTTTGATTGAAACAAAGTAATACAAAGAATATTTATTGATTAGAATTTACATTTTATGCATTAAATTTTTACATTGAAATTGTTATTGAATTGAATTTTGAATCTAATTTTTGTTTATACTGTACTTAAGTACTGTACTTAAAATATTTAAACTTATTTATATTATAGATTTTATAATACTTTTTTAATAAAAATAATTATCATCATGAAATAAACAGATAATCATTATATTCAATGTATAAAATGCGCCCAAATATATAAAGCTTGATGAATTAAAAAGATCTAATTCACCAAGGTGTTTGTAAACTTAAGATACAAGTTGCCTAAAAATACAACTAGCGCAATTTAATTAAAATCTTGCGTTTTAATTGATCTACTGTACTTCGAGAAAACATAATTGTCTACATTTTCTGGTTCAAATAGGCGAACGTAATTTATGTGTCGACTCATGCCATACCCATAAACTACAGTAAAGTAAACATAATTATCAACATGATAAATTAATAAAAAAATTGCAATAATTAATTCATGGAATATTTGAACTAGACATTAGTGACTTACAAATTGTAATTACGGTTAAATTAATGATCCTAGTTTAATAATTATAAATATTTAACTATAGTGTACACTATAATGAGCACAACTGTATGTAATAAACAAACCCATAGAAAACATATGACTTTTTCAAGTGAATACAAATACAATACACTTTATATTTGTAATAATTTTTATTTATTTATGAATTTATAATTATATTACAGTTTCTTATTATACAACACATTAATTAAAGTGTCATTAATAATATTAATTATTATATTAAGGTAATTATAAATATGTTAATTGTATGCTTGATGTAATCGAAATTTTATTGTTATTTATAATCGAGACTTTGATTACTTATTATGATTATTAATAAATGTGTTATGGTTAATTTACTTATTTACCGGTAATTGATTTTTATGTAAGTTGTCTATAGGCAAAATGATTTTGTTTATTTTTATCAACCTTGATACAATATGTTTTAGTGTGTGTTTAATTATAAATAGTGTAAATGGTGTTAAATTATTAAATGACTAAATTACCATATAAGTTGCTATTAAAAAATTAACTAGATTTAATTATTAGTATAATTTTATACTTAGTTCTTAGCATGTTTAGATTAGCGGTGAATTAATTTTGCTAAATATTAATATATTTTTCCTGGTATTAAATATTTATTTAGTGATGTTTTATTTTTTGCAGTTTTATTACAACATAACAAATAATAAAATTACTGTATTTTCAGACCTCAAAACACATTTAGATTTATTATTGGATTCATTTCAAAAATGACATGCTACTAATGAATATTCTGTTGACATTTTGTAGATTATGGTAAACAAGATGTAGTCAATCTATGTTTAATAATTTATTTTTAACGTGAGTTGGTTGTTGTAAAATAGACAAAAATAAATATAATTATTATTACATAATTTACTGTAGTGACAACTATTTGAACGGGTTACAAGTCTCTCTCTCTCTCTCTCTCTCTCTCTCTCTCTCTCTC